TCCTGAGCCTGTCTCACGAGCTGGGCTTTTGTGAAGCTCTTTCAACAGCTGAGTGAAGTTCTTCTGCAAAAGCATTTACATATATATATATATATATAAAAACCACCAACCTGTTATAAAGCTTATCACCAGCCCTGTGATGGCACAGCCTAGGCAGCCAATGGCACTGAAGTACAGGTAGGACAGGGAGTACCAGGTGTCTGCCAGCAGAGGCCTGTTAAGAGGTGACAAAAGCAGCAAGTGACAGCCAGCAGCCGGGTTTTCTCTTGTCTGTGCCAGCACAACACAGCTCGGGTTGGGTGAGGTGGTGGTGGGCCCTGTGCCCGGCCTGCTGGGCAGGTGCTGGCTGTGCTGCAGGCATGGGCACACGCTGTGCTGAGACCCAGGGTCAGGAGGTGACAACGGGGACAATACCTGTCTGGGGCTGCCGTGGGAGATGCCGTCGTCAGCATGTCGGTGCTGTTAGCCAGCGTGCAGTTGAGAGTCAACAGTGGCAGAGGAATGGACTTTGCTGGTGGTGCAGGGTAAATGAAAGAGCCGATGCCCACCCAGAAAGCTAAGGTGATCCCTGTTACGAGGCCTCCAATAGCACCCTTGGCAGGTGGAGAAAAACACTGTTAAAGGGGATGGGTGGGAAGCGCTTCTCTGCGAAGGTGAATTAGGCAGCAGTAGGGATAACTGGTTACGATCTCTGTGTATATCAGTTCTGTTCTTTCTCAACCAAGGTATAAAACAGGGTGATTTATTGCCCGCTAGTAATAAGAGTTGAAGCAAAACTGTGTTGATCAAAACTACACCGTAGAGCTTACTTGTACTTCTGGGTAAACGTGATGGGACCGCTCGTGGTACAAAATGAAAGGAGCTCATGTTGTGTTTTGCCTCAGTTAGGAAAGGCAGAGCGAGTGAAATAATTCTGTACACATTAAGGTGAATGTAGGCTGGGGAATATTGATTTTGGTTTGTTTTGTTTTTAATGGAGAAGAACAAACTCAGAAATAATTTTTAAAAACACTCTCATATGGACCTAATCACCAATTATTCTGCAGCTGGGGGAAGTTAAATTCAAAGGGGATAAATGCACACAGTGAACAGGGGCCTCTAAAGAGATCTTGGACTCTTCGGGGACTAAATCTAAAAATATCAAACAATTTTCAAGGTGGAGTTATAATCAAACAGCACCAAGAGATTTTCCTTTAGAAGAGGATATTTATTTTTTTTTCTTACCTTCCAGTTAGCCCAAGGAAACACAATTCCCAGGGTAAATATCCCCAGCATGGGCCCCCCACACATCCCGTGGATGGAGAGAGAAGCCTATGGATACAGACAAGAGACAGGAGGTTAGTGCAACAGCTGTGGGGAAGGTGTGCAGTTCTGGTTTTGTTCGGTAATTTTCACTGGGAAGTGATGTTGAACAAGGGACAAACAATAATTTCTGTGCAAAATTAGAGAGAGAATCACACTTAGTATCATTTCCCAGCAGTGAGTGAATAGTGAAGGACCTGGGGGATTTATGACGATTATTTTTTTCCCTAGTTGTTATTCTCAGCAGAATGTCCACAGAAATTGTTCAACTAATCTAGCAGTTGCCAGCACCATCAGCATTATTTGCTCAGTTCGTTGTGTTTCTGCTCGTTCACGGTCAGTTCATTGCATACCTGCACAACTCCTCCCAGCAGCGATGCTGCTGCAGCCATCGAAGTGCAGAGCACACCATAAAATATACCTGGAAAAAATCAGGCAATGAGCTTGTCAGTGCTGGTTAATGGTGTAGGTGATTTCTGATTTTCTCTGGTGTCCAAAGGGACCAGGCAGCATGGAGGAATTTGCACTTTGGGCTTTGATGTTTAAAGCAGACCATTAAGCACCCAGGAACATCTTGCGTGAAGTCTGGTTGGGTTGTTGGTTGGTTTTTGTTATGAAGCAGAACTTAGCAGTGAAATTAATTTAGAAGTAATACCACGTGTGGAAATGTTTCTGCTGCATTTAAATAATGCTTTTAAAATAATCTAATGAAGTAGTTGAGCAGTGATAAACAACACGGCTGTCTTACTTTGACTCCAGTTTTAACCTTGTGGTAGACGAAAACTCTGTATGTAGCAGTCCTGAGTAAAGCCAACCAAAACTTAGGTGCTAGCACACCTTGATCTGAGAGGTAAAAATTACTTCTAGGTCCTGAGTGCAAAAACTAAGTAGCAAGTGGAAAAGTAGGAACAGACAAGGCTGAGACAGAAAAATTATTAGTTTGGCTATTTTGTGATCTTTGCAAACATGGATAAATGGTTATGGCGTTATTATGGTACTTATGAAAGTGTTATGATATTACTGCAAAAGTTGTAAAAAAGTATCTTACAGTGTCTAAAGTAGCTTGAATTTTTATGTTGAATGGTCCTGGATCATCTTTGACTGATGCTTTTCGTTTGTCTTTTTTACATTTTTGTTTCTGAAAAACTGAACAACCTGCTTATGCAACACTGAATAGAAATGCCTTGTTTTATTACTATAAAATAATAATATTTAGTAATACTACTATAGAGTAACGTGGTAAGGAGTACACTAATATCCTTTCTATATTAGAAAGAAGATTCTAGAGTGTTTCCCAGTATTTTCAGTAGGCAAAACTTTTCCAAGAATTTTGAGTATCAGTTGATGCTAGTCTGTTTCTTTACTATATAGTGCCCGTACTTAATTTCACTGAAGTATCAGGCCGAGGTTCATCCTGAAAGTTTGTGAAGGGTTACACTCCTGTGGAGGTTTCCCAAGCACAAGCTTGTTTCTGAGGGAGTGTTTCTGCACAGTGCCCTTCACTACTCACAGAATTTTTCGTGGAGTCAGTTGAGAGTCTGAGACTCTCAAGGCTCAGAGTACGTAAAATCCTGCCCTATTTCTTTCTGTAGTAACAGCAGTTGGGTGAGCCTGTTAAAGAAATGGAGCTCATCTAGGGTGGTACCTACATAAGCCTTTGCTGATCCATGTGCTCATCTTCTCAGAGAGGTTTGGGAAACCTTTCTTGACCAGGTCTTCAAAGGTAACAGTTGCTAAAGCATTGATGCTAGCAGCTACTGTGCTGTAGAAAGGGAGCAGAACATTAAATAAATAGGAAGCAATATATTCTGAAATAAAGTTGTATTTATAGTATTTTTCATGTGCCCTTGCAGGGGGCCTGTCCCTTCTGCGATTACTAGGGGCTCTGCTTCATGCTAGTGTGGGACAAGACAGAAACTCATGTGAGTTGACCCTTTGGTTTGTCAGTCTGCACAGACCTTCAAGATACAGATATGTTTCAGAATAAAAATATGACCCTTACAAAAGAAAGGATGTGAACAGTGACCACTGGTTCCCCCACAAAACACCTGTTGTTTTCTCCCATAACTGAAAAATATGGAATAGGAATAGTCTGACTCTCCTGGGTGAGTGAACTCGTGTTTGGTGAATATGATCTCTGAATTTGTTGTGACATTGTGGCAGTGTCAATGTCTAAAGCACAATATTTGGTACTCAGTGCCCTTACTCAGTTCTCCTGGTCTCCTGACAGGAGCAGCCAATGCCTTCTATGTGAGTTGTTCTGGGATTTTTTTAGTTTGAGATTTCATTTTGTTATTGGTTTTTTTGTCTTTTTTTTTCCCTGTTTTAATAGCTCCCGCTTGCTTTTTTCTACAGATAAGGGTCTTTAGAAACAGCCTGCTGAAGAATGATACTGTGGTATTTGAAAAATGTCACTGTGAACTTGAATCTTCTCTTTCTAATGTCCTGTGAAGTATTAACATTTGTCCTGTAAAGGGTAGAAACAACAATACTATGCAGCACCACCTTGAAGAACATGCATTTTATAAAACATCACTGTGCAGATACCTGTTTTCCTACTCTAACTCCGTTTCATGTGCAAGTAGGCTTGCTGGAAAGCTCTCTATCTCCAACTGTGATGTTGTGGCAGTCAGGTTAAGTAAAAGCAATTTCAGGTAAAGTAAAGGTATTTCAGGAAGCTGAGCTCAGTTTTTCTACCGCTCTGTATTAATAATGCTATTCTAAAATATATTTGTGATGAAAGTATATTGGAGAAGTGGAGCTAGACTTGGCATGAATATAATTTAGCTCAGCAAAGCACTAATGCCTCCTCCTAGAATGTGCTAAGGAAAACAGCTGAACTTTTCTTGGGATTTTATGTTTTGACCTCATTCTGGGTCCTCAAGAAATCAATGGTACGCAACTAAAATGTCGTTTTAGATTCACAGACCTTAGTGTTCCGCTGAATGCACAGGCGACAAACAGTCCTGGGACTCCTGGCATCGAAGAAAAAATGTCCATAACAAAATACGGCATAAGCTAAGGTGGAAGGAACACGAGAGCAACACAAGCAATTGTTTAAGATTTTCCTGGGTAATGCAAGAGAAGTAGCTGCTTCTGAATATGTTGCTAAATTCTGACTTTGTTCAGGCTAACAAGAGGTGTTAGATTTTGAGCAAAGGGAATGTTGTTTGGCAGAAGTGGTCAGTCAGATTAATACCACAGGAGTGCCAGAACAGATACATTCTAGCCCTGGTTCGGCAGCTGCCTTAGTGCCTGAGTGCTGGAAGGGCATAAAGCATCCCACAGAACTTAAACTGTCTCTATGTGTGCTGTGCCTGGGCCCAAAGCAGCTCTGAATTATAATAATGAGTATCTGTACCTGATCAGGTGCTGAAATGAAATCAGCAGTCCAAGGGTCACAGCTCCTGTAGTGAGAGTACATCACCAAACCACAAAACATTGCACACATCAGAACTATCCAAAGTCCCAATAAATTCAGGTAAAGTGCCCTAGAGCAAAGGAGAGAAGTTCTATTTAATACAAGATAAATACAGAGAAGCTGTTAAGAATTAGTTATCTCTTACTTTTTAAAGAAACAGCTTAAAGCTAGCTATATAATCTCCTAAAAACATCACCAGGCTAAGAGGTTGTGTGTAATACTAATTTTAAAAACATGGAAAAATACCACCTCTTTATGCCTCAGGGCAAGGTTCTAGACTACTCTGTACAGCTGGAAGAGACTGGTCTTAGACCAGCAACTCATACGCCGAACAGGCTGCACCGAGCACTGAGTCTGTCTGTTCTGTCTGCTGTGAGAGCAGATTTCTGCCTGTCAGGAGTTGTTGCTCTTCCCTTTAAACCACACAAATATTATTTTGCATGGATTCTGTCATGGTTGCAATGCTGCCTTTGCAAAGTAACACACTTGGGGTTTTTCACTAGTCCATGAAATGGATGTGGGTGGCAGGAGCCAGGTTTTACGCAGCCTGCGTTGGGTTTGGACCTCATTTTATGCAAAATCTCTTGCTAGAGCCAGTTCCAGTTCAGAGCCATGCTGCTGCGACTCGGAGGTCTTTCGGGGCCTGTCACTAGCGATATTCTGACTATTGTGACTTCCAAACATTTTCAGAGACTGAATTTCAACAGAGTAAATTCACGTAATCTATCATAACTCGAAGAAAACTTAGTGTAATTGCAGCTAGGAAAAAAGGTAACTGAAGAAAGAAAAAAATATAGCTTTTATACTTAAGCTGTGTGGGCAAGCCATTAGTAAAACGTGTCTAGCTCTGCCCATGCTAATGCTGAACCTGAGGAAGGTAGCAGGTTAGAGACGTATATGTCTATATTGTGAAGTTTCTTTGCAATTGATTCTAATTGGTCTTATGCTGTATAATTTTAATAACAACTATTTATTGATTTAATTTTATTTAGATCATACCTTGTGCTGTAGTGCTGCATTATATAAATAACCATTTTAAATACAATTTAAATACAATTCCAACACATACGTTTTTTCAATGAAACTGTAGATAGCACAACTGCTGGGTGAGTGTCTTTCCCATAGTCTGCTTCTGAGGATAAATATAGCAGCCTGACCTCAAATTAATAAAGTAGATAGCTACCCATTTTTCTTACTGCATTTGCTTACACCATTTAGAGGGAGTAAGACTGCCAGGACAAAATTAACGTACTGCCATCCAATGAGATCCTGATGTTTATTTACATAATTGACAAACTGTTAGTAGGACCCCACATCAGTATGTTTCATTGCTAGACTAGATTAATGACGGGGAACTTACAGCTTAGCATGCCTTTCCGATTTGCAAGAAATGCATCTCTGTATTGTGGACTGGTTAACTCCATAGATTCCCAGCCATGTAAATGTTCCCCCAATAACAATTGTCCAGAAGGTATGTCGTCTCAAAGGGTCAACATCAAAACTAGAAAACAGAAAGAAAAGCAATTCAGTTCACTTATTTAAATTACACATCTCTTTAGCAACAGGTGGGTGATTTTCCAGAAATATCTGGTCTGTCCTGCCCTCTAAATCAGCAGTACCACATGGATAATACTGCCTTCCAGCACAGACAACATCAATTGTGGTTTAGGTTTGGAAGTTTCTTTACTTTTACATTGGAACATTGTCAAGTCAGGGTAAATATCTATGATGCAGACTTAGTCCAAGGACCAATCGGTTGAGGTAGATCACATTTATTAGGCATTTTGTGCTCGGATTTCAGATCTGTGTCAACTTTTAAGCAGCAGATCTGCAAGACGTCCTGCCTGGGACCCCGTCCTTTGCAAGGAACAAAGCCACTTACTACACTCAATCTTCCAAACTCTTAGGTACGTCATCACGATGTGTGGTTTTCTTTGCAAGAAATTGCTTCAGCTGCAATGTTATCTTTTTTTTTTTAGGCAATTAAATTTGATTACTCGGTAATTCTAATCAGTATGAGTACACCTTTGTGTCTTGCATCTGTTGCTTTTGCAATTCTGCTAATCTTGAAGGATATAGCAGATAACGTTTGACCTTGCTGCTAGATTCTGTCAGTGACTTGCCTTGATCAATGAACTTTTCAGTCAAGGCCACAAACAACCAGAGAAGAGTCAATCTGCTATCCTGCTGCACCATTGCTACCTGCTAGGGTGGGCATACTTAAAAAGAAGCTTCAGTTTTATGAATAGAAGATGGAAGATAAATACAATTGGAAGGAATAATTGGGCTGAGTTTGTAGCTACAGAAAGAACAATGACAATGCTCCTTTTCAGTTCAGCATGGCTTTGGTTTCTTCAAAGAGGGTAACAGAAAGAGAAGTTAAACTCTGCTGAAGGTCAACTGCATTCCTAAGAAATGAAGAAACAGGGAGTGGATTTGGGTCACCCAGGTTGTTCACTGGTAGTATAATAACAAGTCTGAGTATATTTGACTTAGGGTTTCTAAACATTAAATATACAAAAGGAAAAGATGTGCACCATTTGTTTCTTACTCAAATACGTTTAGTCGTGATCCTTCATAGGCAGTTTCCCAGACCTTCGTCGTTCCACCATTCACAATAGTTCCTTGAATCAAAACCGCCAAGAAGCCAATGACCATGACAATCATTTGAAGTGCATCTGTCCAGACAACGGCTTTTAATCCTCCCTGAAACAGAAATAACCTGTATGCTCTCATCTTCTTTCCAGTTGTTCAAATACAGAAAAAAGGTAGAAAGACCCCTTATTTCGGGCATTTGTGAGCTGTGTGTATAGCTTCTAGCAAATCAGGACTCTTTCCTAAACCTTGTATTCTCCCATGACGGTTGTGGTTTTGCAGGTCAGGAAATGACACAGTCTAAATGTTTTCTTCATAGTCATATAAGGACATTTGACCTCCAGTTAAATGCTTTTTTTCCTGCCTCTTTTATATGCATTTGAAGAATATTCCCGTTCGGTCCCCATGTGTTGCCAGGTGGCGTCCCTGGTGACAGGGAGGCTGGATTAAAATGATCTCTAAGGTCCCTTCCAGCCCAGGCCATTCTATGATTCTGTGTTCTAGGGAACACAGGCTGGCCTGTTTGTATTTCCTGTAGCACCCTGAGCACTCCTCAGAGGCCAGGGCTGTGTGATTAACCCAACCCAGAAAAACAGCTCCAGAAACTTTGCAGTCCAGCTTTCTTCCACAGCTACTTTCGTATTTAATCAAATCTGTGCTAGAACAACATATTAAGTGCTTTCAACAAGGGTGGGCTGAAATATCGAAAAATTCATTAGTGGTAATGAGAAAATAAGTAGGGCTGTATCCTGAGCCCCAGGACTCTGCAGCTGTTGATCTTTCTTGCAACCTGGGGTCTCATGTTGCTTCCACTGAGAAGCAAAGCTCTCTGACTTGTTGATCATCCTTTCTAGGTTTTATCACTCTTCCCCTGATCTGGGGTGACACTAGAGGCACATTTTTCATTATAATGTTTTTCAGTCTATAACTAGTAAAAGATAGGAAGAATTGTCTTCTCAAAAGATTCAGTATGGCAGGGGAAGGTTATTGCCTCCTTATCTGGAGTCTCCCTCAGGCTGTCTGCCTTAAGCCTTGAGACATACAGCAGAGGATTTGAGAGAATATTTTTTTTATTATTTTTTTCCACGTAGACTTACTTATACCACAGAATCTAAAAGAAATTTCTCTCTGTGTTCTACTACTTTAAACTTCAGCCACTCAGACTGTGTTTAGAAGCTGCCCTTCTGTGACAACGTGTTGTGTATAAAGGATGGGTGAATTAACAATCTGCATTCCAGCTGTCTGGTTATGCCTATTACGTACCAGAGTGCAATAGAAAGTGCAGACAACTCCTGTTGCAACTACAGAGCCCCAGAGATCAAAACCAGTGACTGTGAAACCAAAGAAAACCAAATGGTTAGTGAAAGGGGGTAGGTCATCTGACTGGTAACAGAAAAACTTTGAGCAGTAAAAGGATGAGAGTAATTACTAATCTTAACCTTTTGTGACTATTAGGATACTGTTTTGCATTGTTGTTTTCTTGCAAATTGGATTTAACTAACTTTCAAGTATGTAAAAACAATACGGAAGAAGAATAATTATATTAACTTTGTAAGCAATGCTTTCCTTCTATTCTTAGTCCAGAATTTTCTCTTGAGAAATTTCTTCAGAGATTTCCAAAGAATCATAGGAAAAAACCCAACCCCAAACTAAATTTCTTTCCCGGCGGCTAGGAACATTTTAATGCTAAAATGTGCTGCATTAAAACAAATCTGCATGTTCGTTTTACTTCATAAAGTTACTTTATACAAGATGTACAAATTTGGGGTTGGCTTTTATTGAAGTCTCTCCCACCAGGCATATCTGTTTGTGAAGCGAAATCTATTTGTCTGTTTTCCTCTTATTAACAAAGTTAATATGGCCTTATAATGAACATGAACTGTCACACACATTGCAGTTGACCAACGGAGGAAGGAAGCTCAGCCCTGTGTGAGAGGTGGGATTGGGCGGACTGGGTGCAACTCAGATGACAAACAATGAAAAGAGCCTCCCAATCTTTTCCCAGTTGTTTTTCGTGAAATCAGTTGAGCTACAGAGATTCGTGACATCTTATGGCAGTAAAACAGCCCATCCCATCTATCATGATGGCTGCTGTAAGCCTGGTTTGCAAAGATTAATTAAAGAAGCATGGGGACAGGCAGCAGCACAGCAATCGGTGCCAGGGAATGGAGTTATGCCTGTGAGCGTCTGAACACGGGAGACAGGGAAGGGGGCAATCAAAGTACAGAATACGGTCTTGGATCGTCAGCTTGTACTGTGAACTTTGTCAGGATGTTGAGAAATTGTTCATCACTAACCTCGGTGGGTGGTTACTAACTGCAGAGGAGAGCAGAAGAGCACATAGTGTGGCGTGGGAACTCACCTTGGTTGAGTGCCAGTGATGGAGCATAAACCACTATTCCTGTGTAAAGGACCTGAAGGAGAAAAGGTTGAGAAAAAAACTCACGTGTATGTGAAGGGTCAGTGAAAAAGCTTCTATTTAGAGTGAGGCTCAGAGCAAAATACCAGATCTAGCGGTTTCTTTAGTTCAGCTTGTTGTATATGGCTTTCTGTTTCAGCCTTTACAGAATAAAAATCTTTTATTTAAATCTTTTCTGATGGAAGGGCTATTATCTATCTTGGTATTACTTATTTCATGCCTTGCTAAGATGACAGAAATATTCTAGTCAAATGCAAAGAGAGGTTCTCAAGAAAACACAAGCATGTGGAGACATAACTAATATAATCTTTTGAGGTGATCCCTTCTGGGACCATCATGGGGCTGGAGCTACGTGGGAGTCCTTCCCCAGGAGATGCCTTGTGCAAGAGCTTTCAGATGGCGTACCTTCACCCCGGTGTCATAAATGGGGAACTGGTGAACTAAACGTACCCAGTACAGCCTCTCTAGCTTCTCCAGAAGGACAGAATGCACTCACGTGGAAAGAGAGAGGCTTCAAGGGAGCATAATGAGACCATGAATGTGAGAAGCTGTATGAGCTCGGCACAGCATCCAAGTGTCAATGACAACAAAAATGGCATTTTTAGTCCCGAACAGGAGAAAGCTAGAAAGTTAGGAAAGCAACAATTCTTTCTTTTTAATATACACTGTCCAAGTGGAAAAATTTAGGGAAAGAATGCTCATTAATAATCTCATTGTAAAAAATGTGCAGTCTGAGACTAGTCCATCAAAATGCTGAGTGAAACTAACATAAACAAAAAGCGAATGTCTTCTTACCGTCTGCACGACATAGATCAGTGTTGCAGCAAGACGGACAATCTTGTTAAATCTTAACTCCAAATACTAGGAAAAAGAGGAATCCCAGTAAATCGCACAGCTATTAACCTTTTGTTCACCCTGAGGAACAGCTTGTTATGCAAGTAACAATTACTGGCAACTGGCACTGCTGCTATGAATAATGAACAGGAGAGCATGGTGGTTATCACACAGAGATATCACATTTTAAGAAATTTTCTCATCAGTAGAATGTACTTGAAGTTATACATTGGGTTGCAGTACTCGGTATCTGCTTTTTTATAATAGATGGAATCAAATTGCCAGATCTCGACTAAGTTTGAATTGGATGCTACTGAATTTTGTGTTTAATCCCCTTTAATCCCCTGTCTCTAAACCAGAAGCGTTTGGATACATTTTAAATGTCTTCCAGCTGTAATTTAATTTGTGCTGGTGTGTAAACCCTTACCCTGTCTTTGCTATATATGCATAACAGCAGCTCTGATCCTGAATTTGTGCTTTCTACTTATGCAAAATAAATAACTGGTTTGAATAATGAAAAATACTTCACATATTGATACGCTTGTTCTGTAAAACACTGCCAAAAGCCTTCAGTCAGATTTTTCTTTAAAAATATCTAAATGCATGATACTGACCTCTTTGTTAGAGTAGTGCCTTCTTTTTAAGAATTTTTGCTTACCTCATAAGTGCTTGTAATGCCAGATCTGTAGAACACGGGTAGAAAAAGTTCGGCAGTAAAAAGGATGACAAGCGTATATGAAAGGAAAAACAGCACAAAGGATGCTCCATAGCGATAAATTTCGGAGGGTGTCCCCAGAACAGTGACTGCTGACATGAAACTTGTTGTGAGGGAGAAAGCTATCGGTCCACATGTCATCTGCCTGCCACCCACCAAAAATTCCTTTGAAGTTTTCTTTTTCCTCTCTTTAACTGCAAAAAAGACTCCAATGCTAGCACATACTAAAAATAGTGCTGCAAAAACAACATAGTCCCAAGCCACAAATTTTTTGACTTCTGGAGCAACAAAGTTTGACATGGCACCGGTTGGACAGTTCGCCGCTGGAGGATCCTGCTTTCCTATAGCTCTTGCTCTGAACAAATTAACTCAGTTGACAGCAAAGCTGACGCTTATCTGTAGCCCATTGACAAATAATAAACAGAAAGACTATTCGAGTAGGAGACTTTTTTCCTTTTTTTTTTTTTTTTTAAATCCAGTTCGCTTTTAAGAAAGATAAAAAGTAACAAAGATTGAGGTAGGAAGGTGCTGAATGCACTTAGAACCTCATGGTACTGATGCCTCTGCCAGGCAGGATGGAGCACGAGACTTAGCTGTGCAATCTGTAGAATGCTCCCTTTTTATCTGTGAGGTTTTAATTTAAAGTTAAACATTAGCCTGACACGTTGACTTGATGTGACTCTTTTTGAACCTCTCAGCATTTTTAATGAGAGCAATATGAGAGCAATAAAGAAATAAATAAAGGAGAGCAAAATGAAGAAAAGTTCAGTGTGTGGACCTGTGACCTCAAGGGTGAGTGGCGAAATACCACTGCCAGGGTATCTCCTCTTAAACCTGAGCCGCTGAATGCACCATGCGAGTTAGACTGCATCACTCTTAGATTGCTGAGAGGGTGGGGGGCCTGGGATAAAAATCAAAAATGAAAACTAAAAAAAAACCCCAAACAACAGTAATCTGGGTCAGAAAGTTTCTGTGCTGATCAAGTTACCAGAGGAAGTTGAAGTTTTCTGTAACATCCGTTCTATGATGCCCTAACCAGAGAGGAGACGAGTTGATATCGTCTGCCTTGGCGCCAGCAAGGCTTTTGGCACTACCTCTGCCATAACATCCTCGTTAGGAAGGGGCAGGGAAGATGATTGGGGGACTGGAGCATCTCCCTTATGAGGAAAGGTTGAGAGGGCTGGGACTGTTTAGCCTGGGGAAGAGAAGGCTGAGAGGAGATCTTATAATGTCTGTAAATATCTAAAGGGCGGGTGCAGGGAGGATGGAGCTGGACTCTTCAGTAGTGCCCAGTGACAGGACAAGGAGCAATGGGCACAAGCTGGAACGTGGGAAGTTTCATTTAAATATGAGGAAGAACTTCTTTCCTGTGAGGGTGACAGTGCACTGGCACAGGCTGCCCAGGGAGGTTGTGGAGCCTCTTTCTCTGCAGACTTTCAAAACTCTCATGGACGCAATCCTGCTTTAGCAGGAGGGTTGGCTAGGTCCTTTCCAGCTCTGACAATTATGTGAAAACAAGTGTAATGTAATATATTATTATTATTGGCTAGAACAAATTTTTTAAATTATCTACATGCAGTCACCAAACACAGTTAATTAGCAGCTGGGCTAACGGTGCTGTCATGCCACGATGAATAAAGCAACTCATTGACTCGCATAGTAATTTGGATTGGATTCCAGGAAGCTTTTCTGAACTGCAAAATTCCTTTTGGCATAAATGTAAGCCTGCAGAGATCCTTTTTAAAAAGTTTTCTTTAAGTTATGAATGGTCGTTCTAGAAGAAAAGTATTTTTGGATGATAGTGTTTCACACAGACAGAAAGTAGAAAAAAGCTAAGAGAATAATAAAAAATCAAATTGGAAATGTAACTTTGCATGTTTGTGGTGCTGTGGCCCTTTGTTACGCTTTCAGCATAGCTTCATGGTGTTGTTCAGAATAGTCCTTTTAGCTAAATCTCACATACAAAAACCTCTCAGAAATACAATTTCTGAAGAAGATATGTTGTTTTAAAATACTGTTAAGATACTTGTTGTTCTGTTGTGATGATATTCCTTTTCTGGAAACAAGTGAAATTTTGATTTCCCTGAAATCATAAAAATAGAGGACTTTTTAGTTGTGAAAACGCTTTTGAAATAAAGTTTTAGCCATGGTAATCCAGGGAAGAAGCTTGATTTCTTGAAGCTTCAATACCCCTGTCAGTATCTGACACTGAACCAAGAATCTGACCAGAAATCCAACTTGAGTTGGATTGAGTTTTGAGACTGCTCGCATCCGAGGGCCTATTTCAGTCCCTATTTTGGCATCTGGAATCAGTGCCTGAGATACCAAAGGTAAGAAGTGCTTCAAATTTGCTGCGGCCTGGCAAAAACCTGCAAGGGATGCTCTTCCTGCTGTACCTTTCTGCCCGTGATTTTGGGGAACGTAAGAACAGCCCTTGGAGTGGGAGAGGATAGATCAGTACAGTTCGAATGAATGGGTAGATGTCACTTCCATCTTTTCCTCTGAGATGAGGAGAAGCGCCTTTAATTCAGTGTTATATTCACATAAGGATTCTCCTCGAGCACTTGTCAGATCCATGTGCCTGTTCCTGATCTCCCCCAAAGCGATGCTCCGTGCTCCACACTTGGCACGTTTGCAGGAGAAAGGCAGCAATGCTGAAGCCAACTCGTACATCTGACAGTCGTCTGTGCTCAGTGAATGTCAGCGTGCGGGACAGCGGTTCCGCAGGCTTTTCTAGAGTGGCCTTTCTGCTGCCATTAACCCAAATTCTAGTTCCGAGCCTTTTCAGTCTGAAAAGGGAAATGAAGACTTTGTCAAAAATTTCTACGGTAACACAAATATTTCAAGTCTTGTCATATTAGTGCTTACATAGACTCTTCAGATTTTGGAGTTGTATTTCAGTTTGCACAACCTCTTTCCAGCAAAAAGTGTCTCCCCTTTGGAGGGTGGACAGGGAGGATTTGCTTAGTAGGGTTCAACATACACAGCCATGTTTGGGGGTTTTATCAGCTGAAAAAACTCCCGAATCGAAACTTTTCATGATTTTTACTTTAGTAATCTGAATTTTCCTTCCAAATCACAGTTCCTAAACTAATTTAGCACAGGTATTTTATAGCTAGATATATATATATAAAGTTTGGTTTTCACATGTGTTAAAGTATTGAGGATTTGGAGAGAGGGTTCTTTTCACAAAGTAGGTACCAGAGAATTAAAGTCACATTTAACTACGTGCCTGAAAAAGAAATAATAACTGTTTTATTGTGGAAAAGTAAATTTCTGGAACACAAAGTGCACTGACAATCAAAGGAGTATCATTCAGAAGTCTCTGTTAAACTTAACGGTTATTATCTCTCCTTGACAGTGGACTTTGTATTTTTTTAAGAGGCTCCTTTTTAATGATTACTCTTTTCTCAGAAAGACGTGCTCCTTTATCTACATGAAGATCATTATAACCCGGTAGCGTGGGGAGCTGGATGTGTTGCTTAGAGTTTCAAAAGGGCCTGTTCCCAGGGACACGGAGTCTTACCCCTGGGATCGCTCTTCCCCAGCAGTGCCAAGCCGCCTTGGGGCGGGTGGCAGGGACCGTGGCCAGCGGTGAGGTCTCACCCATCCACCTGCTTTATTTTGCACGTTGGGATGCAAAGTTCTCAGAGTTATTTGCGAATGCGGCCGCATGCTTGGTGAGCGTGAGAGGGCAGGGGGGGCAAGGCTGCGCTGCGGAAGCTTAAACTGCAGTGGTTGGTGCAGGTTCTTGCAGGGAAAAGCATAGGGTTAATGATATGAGAAGACATAATTTATTTATTTTTGGCTTAGCTTAGCAAACTAAGGCCGTTAGTTTGGGTTTCTTGTTTCATTAGTTGAAGCAGTTAACAGATAAAGAAACTTGTGGGCTGACAGAAGAATGAGCTGTCTTGTTCACAGCACATCTTGTCTAAAGACAGCAGTCGAGGACTGAATAAAATAGCAGTTTGTTTTAAAATGAGGATGAGGCACAGCAAAAGTAAGGCACCTTATATGCTGATGAAAAAGCACTTCAGGGATTACGTAGCAGCTGAGAAAGCAAGAGGGAGCTGAGATCTCACTGCAGGGGATTTAAGAGTAAAGAAGCTCAGAGTGCTCTTTGAAAGGATGAAAAAGTAATGTGTGCAGTTAAAAGCTTCAGAAACCAAAGTCATCTGTGTTGGTCTTCAGTTGTTAATAAGTAGCAGAAATACTGCCACAGGACTGCCAGAAGCCTTTGGAAACAGTTTCACAGCAACCTTAGGAGTAGAAAGGTGATGTGTCCTTAACAGGACCATCAACAGCAGTTCTGTTAAGGTTCTCCAGGAGTCCTGTTCATGGACAGCTTTAACGAGAGTCCCTACTTAGAGTAACACTTACCCACGTGTTACCCTGCTAAAGGGAAAATTCAGGCACTCACTGAGGAATGAAGCTGTTTAACACTAAATTGGTTTGGTGTATCTCCCCAGATTGGAGGTATCCTGCACTCTAATGGACTTGTGCTATAAAAAGTACCTTTTTCCACATCGTAGAAAACCCAAATCAAAGGGAGACCCTTTTTAGTAGGAGTTGGAGACCCGTCATCTTTAATAATTCTTTTTTATTTATTGATTTTTCACTTTTACTTTTCTGTATTCTGTATACTTCAAAGGGATCTCTCCATCCTGTTTTGCTTATATGATTTCCCTCCCCTTGTATACTTGCATCCTTATCTTGGTATAGATTACAGAACAATATGACTATACTGAAAAAAGAGTTTGTGCATTTTTCTGCAAAGAGAAGCTGCTGTTGATCCATTTAACTACTTGGATGCTGCTTGTTATCTTTGCACTCCTAAATTATTATCCATTCTTTTTTTCCTAGCTTAAAATGAAATGATCAAAGATAGAGATCTAGTCATAGTTAAAATAAACCCATAAATAAATAAACAGAAATTTGCCTGCGACTATACAATACATTTCTCTTGAGAGAACTGGGTGAAGATCTGGCCTCTCCAGGCTTGCCTCCAGCACACAAGTGATGGGGTGTGAGGTGAGTTGGAAAGGAGCTGGGCCATGGCTTTACTGTAGGTCTTTTCTTTGACAGATCTTCTCTCCTGCCTTGCATCTGAGGGCCTAAAGCTCTTACTGCTCGGCTAAAATCTCGTGATTACATTAAATTCACGTCCATGAGCTTTTGTATGGACCTTTACCTGGGTTATCTTTAAGGCTGTAGAAAGCTTCTCTTCATTCCCTGAAGAGCCAAAAAGCAGAGAGAGGAGGGAAAACTTCTGGAGGGTGCCAAAAATAATGTGACATGAA